AATCCCCAATTCATTGTAAATTGACACAAACAAAAGAGCAATACAAAAACCAGAATAGAAATGGGAAGGGTTGGAGTGGCACTTTAAGTCCCTAAACGTGAACGGACCAGAGGATTCTCAATATTTGAAATTATTCTTACTAAATTAAGTTGAAATCTAAAAATGCTAGATACACTCTGATCAGCCACAGCGTTAAAACCACGGACAGGTTGAAATAACCTTCATTATATTGTTACAATGGCACCTCTCAAGTGGTGGGATATATTAGGCAGTTATTTCTTGAATTGGATGGGTTGGAAGCAGGAAAAATAGGCAGGTGGAAATATCTGAGTTAATTTGACCAAATACTGATGGTTTGATGACTGGGTCAGAGCATCTCCAAAACGGCAAGTCTTGTGGGGTGTTCCTTGTATGCACTGATTAGTACCTACCAAAAGTGGTACAGGGAAGGCCAACTGATGAGCCAGCATCAGGGTCATGGGTGCCCAAGACTCATGGATGCATGTGGGGAAGGAAGGCTAGCCCATCTTGTCCAATCACACAGAAGAGCGCCTGCAGGTCAAATTGCTGAAAAACTTAATGCTGGCCATGATAAAAAGGTGTCAGAACACACAGCGCAACACAGTTTGCTGTGTATGGAGCTTCAAAGTAAACAAAATAGTATATTTATTGTAAGCAGCTGTGCATTTGCATATAACCAATGTTTTAGTCCAACTACCTTGACATATTAAGAAAAGCTTGGTAATGGGACTGAAATTGTGAATGTATGCTGTAAAAAAAAACAAATGATGTTATCTTGTTCATTTTAAAGTCCTATGAGTGTGTTCTTCACTTTGGCTGAGATCATCAAACTTGATGATCTCAGCCAATCCAATGCTTTCCCAATGGAAGGCATTGAGAGGCTATTGTGCATGTGTGGCAAAAACTGCGCGGCCAATCAGCATCTCTATGTAGAGAGTTTAGCACCTCCATGCAGACTCAGTTTAATAAACTGCCCACTCCCCCATTCTAATACACTACCCACAGATCCAATACATTGCCCCCAAATTCAATACACTGACCCTTCCTCTCATTCTAATACACTGCCCACAAATTCAATACACCGCCCCCACCACTCTAATACACTGCCTCCCCCTCCCACCACTCTAATACACTGCCCCACTCCCTCACCCAATTTAATTAACTGCCCCTCCTCCCATTCTAATACACTACCCACAGATTCAATACATTGCCCCCAAATTCAATACACTGCCCCTTCCTCTCATTCTAATACACTGCCCACAAATTCAATACACCGCCCCCACCACTCTAATACACTGCCTCCCTCTCCCACCACTCTAATACACTGCCCCACTCCCTCACCCAATTTAATAAACTGCCCCTCCTCCCATTCTAATACACTACCCACAGATTCAATACATTGCCCCCAAATTCAATACACTGCCCCTTCCTCTCATTCTAATACACTGCCCACAAATTCAATACACCGCCCCCACCACTCTAATACACTGCCTCCCTCTCCCACCACTCTAATACACTGCCCCACTCCCTCACCCAATTTAATAAACTGCCCCTCCTCCCATTCTAATACACTACCCACAAATCCAATACATTGCCCCCAAATTCAATACACTGCCCCTTTCTCTCATTCTAATACACTGCCCACAACTTCAATACACCGCCCCCCACCACTCTAATACACTGCCTCCCCCTCCCACCACTCTAATACACTGCCACACTCCCTCACCCAATTTAATACACTGTTCCCCTCCTTCACCCAAATTAGTACACTTCCTGTCCCTCCCTAAAATTAACACACTGCCGCCCCAATTTAACACACTGACCCCCTGCTTCCCCCAAATTAATTCAGTGCCCCCTCCCTAAAATTAATACACTGCCCACTCCCTCCCCCAAATTAATACAAGGCCCCCTCTCTCAAGGTAATACACTATCCCCCACCCCGATTTAACACACTACACAGAAAGGTCCCCCAAGCCCGTCTTCTCCTACCTTAAGATAAGCCGCCCGTCCTCCAGTTCCAGCCCTGCTCTTTTCTGCTCAAGCAGGCCAGACGCTCCTCTAGCACTGCGAGCAGGAGGGACGGGGGAGTGGTTGGCTTGCAGGAGCACACAATCGGTCGTGGGAGGGAAGACAAGAATCAGACAGGAAATATCATTTATGTCTGGTCACAGCCACAACACAAAGTGGCCCCAAGGCAGGTTGGCCACAAATATATCCATTATGGGCATGCTTGGCCTACATAGAGCCTTTATAATTAGCTGACACAGACATATAATTTCTTATCCATAATTTATAAAAAAAGCTTTGGTGAATGTGACCTTCAGATAGTATAAAAGAGAACAGAAATATTTTAATAAATATGTCATTTCATTTCTTTCCTTTCTCAATATTACTTATTTTGCTTACAGTACTGCATACTCACATTAGCCACATATTTAGACTATTACCCTGCACTATGATTTGATTTATGGTTATTTATATAAATCCCCAATTCATTGTAAATTGACACAAACAAAAGAGCAATACAAAAACCAGAATAGAAATGGGAAGGGTTGGCTGGATAAACATGGCGTTCCATAATGGATTTAGAAGATCTTTTAGGAGGAAGAAATAGAAGCAATATCTTGATAAGTAGGAAGTAGCGGGTTCCTTCATTCAGGGAAAGCTGGGGACGAAGAATGTGATTGCTGAAGTAAAGGAGAATGTGAGAGTAGATTACGCAATCAGATATCAGCTGCTGTCACACTAAATAAAGTGTGCTGTCACACTCCTCTTAAAGGAACACTCCACTACTCAAATACAAAATGAATTAAAATCACTGTTTAGTAGATATACCCCAAATTAAAATGTGCATGCATTTAAGTATGCATTTTTTCCTTGGGGAGGTAAGTTTAAAAACAGCTTTCAAAACTTGCAATACCCTTGTATACTGGTTTTCCAAACCCTCCCCTTCTAACCCCGCCCAGATTTTATGTGGCTGCCCAATCACAGACTTCTAATGCAGCTCAGTGAGAAGTCTCTGCAATGCAAATTGCTGCCTCTTAAGTTTGACCCTACTGTGCTAACGAAAGCAGGAAGTAAAATTGTTGTCTGATTGAAAGTCAAGGTTTTGTAACCAGCTTAAAGGGTCACTATAGGGTCAGGAACACAAACATGTATTCCTGACCCTATAGTGTTAACACCACCATCTAGCCCATCTGGGCCCCTCATGCCTCCATAAATATAGCAAAATCTTACTGTATTCAAGCCTGAAGCCTTAACTCTGCATGCTGTTAGACTCAGGGGCGGATCCAGAACCAAATCTCGGGAGGGGCACTTAAGTGGGCTAGAGCGGGGTGAAACAGGCTGCAGCGGAGGAATAGGGGACTCTTGTTTAGGGGATAGAGGCTGTACACATATGCGGCCACACACAGTGATATGGAAACACAATAACAGATACAGACACATACACTGGCACACCCACAGATACAAACCTATACCTACACAGGCACACACACACACACTGGCACATAGATACACACATCCCTACACATGCACACTGGCGAAACCGCACACACACACACATCCCTACACATACACAGAATGACACACATACCTTCACATACACAGATACAAGGTAATAGAATATACAGGCATAACTCCAGGTACTGAAGGTGTATTTATTGGAGGGTAGAACACGTTTCAGCCCTTGGGGGCCTTAATCATGTTTAAGTCCCTCTAGGGCTGAAAAGTTGCACTTTTATGTGGTGTTCTAACCTCGAATAAATACACCTTCGGTACCTGGTGTGTTGCCTGTATATTCTATTACCTTGTATTGTTGGACGGATTAGCAGTGTCTATCTATTCCAGAGCACCTTTGAGGCTGTGGACCAGAGTGAAAAGCGGAACCTGAGTGCAGTGGACGACGACGTCTGTGGTACACACACACAGATACATACTCACAGATTCACACACTGACACTCCGATACACACAGATGTCCACATACCTAAACATACACACTGACACACACAGATGTCCACATACCTAAACATACGCACTGGCACACAGATGCACACATACACACTGACATACACAGATGTCCACATACCTAAACATACGCACTGGCACACAGATGCACACATACACACATACCTAAACATACACACTGACACACACAGATGTACACATATCTAAACATACACACACAGATGTCCACATACCTAAACATACACACTGACACACACAGATGTCCACATACCTAAACATACACACTGACACACACAGATGTCCACATACCTAAACATACACACTGACACACACAGATGTCCACATACCTAAACATACACACTGGCACACACAGATGTCCACATACCTAAACATACACACTGGCACACACAGATGTCCACATACCTAAACATACACACTGGCACACACAGATGTCCACATACCTAAACATACACACTGGCACACACAGATGTCCACATACCTAAACATACACACTGGCACACACAGATGTCCACATACCTAAACATACACACTGGCACACACAGATGTCCACATACCTAAACATACACACTGACACACACAGATGTCCACATACATAAACATACACACTGACACACACAGATGTCCACATACCTAAACATACACACTGGCACAC